GAGACCCACGGTGGGTTTCCGAGACCGTAACCGTGGACGCGAGGAGAAAGCCCCCTCTTTCTCTTGGAGCGGCTGGTGGTTTTAAACTGCTGACCAGGCAGATGGCAGCCCAACGTGTGACCACGATGCCACCAGGGCTCCGTGACCACTCTCGTTGTGATTTCCCATCATAGTTCGCTGTGGGTTCGGTGCACGGCTGCACAGCCCAGTAGGTTCTCGTGTAGCATGTGTGGTGCTGAATGACGGCGGCCACGGTCTCCACAGTGGGTCGGGACTGCATGCTTCCAGGCAGGTCGCTCCGTTTCTGTTCTTGAGTCTCCCAGCTCCGGCCTCGTCTCTGCCTTGAAGGAGCCGTGGGCCGTTTGGTCTGACCTGTTTGGTTGCACACGCTCCCTCCCGCGCATTGCTGTGCCATCGGGAGGTTTGCGGCAGCCCTGCATGGAGCAGGTCCGTCATCACCCTTTCCCCACCAGCACGCGTCTGTGTCCCGTCTCGGTCTTTCCCACGGCAGCCGAAAGAAGCAACAGATCTGTCTTAGAAGAGGTACAGCCAGAGTGCTCCTTAGAAGTGAGGGCGCCCTTAGCACCTATGGTCAGGAGAGACCAGTCCCTGCAGAAGGACGTCATGCTTGCTAACGTGGAGGGGCAGCATGGGAGGGCCCTGGAAGAGACGGATGGACACCATGGCCGCAACAGTGGGCATGACATAATGGCCATTGTGAGCATGGCACAGGACCTGGAAGCCATTGTGCATCTATCTACCTTGCCAGCTCAGGCTGACTGCCCCGGGCCCAGCGGCGTGGGTATTTAGCTGGGACTCGGGGGTCTGTCTGAGTCCCTCCCACTCTTGAGGCCTCTCCAGCAAGAAGCCCACCTGCTGCTCTATCTCCCAACCTCCAGGGCTCACATCCCCTCTGCCCCTCTGCCTTGGTGCTGTGTCCCCAAGTGCCCGTGTTCCCCTGCTATCCTGACGAGAGTGGCTTGGGCAGAGATGTCCTCTCCACAGAGAAGACCACTGTACATGTTTCTGTGCAAAATGCTGCCCGGCTGACAGCCAGCCCAGCCCTGCGGCGTGTCTGTGCGCCCGCTGTGCAGCAGCTCCCTGCCCATCTCTGGGCTGACCCTCCCTCCCTCCCTGGGCCTGGAGAGCCTGAGCACGCTCCTCACGCCCCAGCTCCCCCCAACGGTG